GACTATAGAGTGCGTAGCAAAACAAATATTATTAAAGATTGTTTGTTTGTTTGTTTTGAATTTCGCGCAAAGCTACACGAGGATTATCTGCGCTATCCGTCCCTAATTTAGCAGTGTAAGACTAGAGGGAAGGCAGCTAGTCATCACCACCCACCGCCAACTCTTGGGCTACTCTTTTACCAACGAATAGTGGGATTGACCGTCACATTAGAACGCCCCCACGGCTGAAAGGGCGAGCATGTTTGGTGTGACGGGGATTCGAACCCGCGACCCTCAGATTGCGAGTCGAGCACCCTAACCACCTGGCCATGCCGGGCCTATTATTAAAGACAATAATTATAGTCGAAATCATTAATATGCCAAACTTCAGAATTGTATCCATGACTATACTAACCGTTAGCCTCTCCACAACTTTATGTATTTGATATACAAAATTTATGTAATATTCCTAAACTTAGTTGTCTGTAATAGTTCAGTTTTAACCACCGTACTTCGAGATTGTAACGTTTCTCCACAGCACACTGGCCAACACTATCTATTCGTTCTTATGGTATTTATTGGAGTGAAAATTAGTGAACTTTACATCCTGCTAACCTAACTTCCTTAAGAGAATGGAGAGTGGTCACTTACAACTCGTGTTTGGTTTGATTAGAGCATTTGTTCTCTGACTGGACATGTTGGATATTGGGTTAGTCTTGTCCTGGATGTCAGACCATAGGTCTTCGTGCTGCTAGGTTAATTGATACAAATAGTCAGTCAACTAGTATTATTTCAAGCTTAACTGTATTGGTGTGAACAATGTTTTTATTTTCTTCTTCATATTGCACCATTTAACCCGTTTTTGTTTTTACATCCTAAAATTCATCTCCAGCACTGAAGCTATTCAACCTTCATTCATCAAACATCAGTGATTCACTGCCAGCTAAATACTGTATTAGCATTCTTTAATTTACAACAGTTGCACCTTATCTGTATATAACTGTTCATGAATACCACACTTCAATAGCTACACGTTTTTATACAGTATAAGAAATTACTAAGCCAATTGTGGCAAGTTACCACAAAAATATTTTTTAGATGAAAATATGCATATCTTGCACCGTTTCTTTGGCACTTTAGCTAAATAGAAATGATCTACAGTCAGTCAGTTTGATGGTTTGTTTGTAGTCAAGCACAAAGTTACACAATGGGCTATATGTGCTCTTTCCGCCACGTGCATCGAAACCGCAGACGTACCGCTGTGCCACTGGGGGGCGATCTACAGTCATAAATGACGTATTGCACAAATGATCAATTTGAAAAGAATAAATGCAATTGTTATGTTTTACCATGATAATAGCATACATTGTTTTATTATTATACAGTCTTCGTTTTGCTTAAGTACAGAATCCGGGGTTTATACCGCTGTCTACGCAACGCAGATAATTCATTCAGCAGCTTTGTGCTAAACCTAACAAGAATTAGTTTGGTGCAGAAGGGGGTAAGATGTTATTAAATACCACATAAAGAGGCTGTTTTTGCCTTTAAGAAGTGTCTTTGTTGTACAGTTAAACTATATATATAGTTATATACTCTTAAATGCAATTTCCAACCACTCAAACTATTTAAATAAAAATAAGTGAAAACATAAGATAATGGAAATATCACAATGATAATTATACATAAGTCATCGCGTTCAGCTACCAATATATCAATGATATGTGTATATATATGAATGTGTGTGTGTTTATATTTTGGTAACTCAATTTTCTTATCCTGTGTACTTCTTTCTTTTAGACTTCAGAAACGCCTCCTCCCCCCAGTGACACAGTGGTATGTCTGCGGACTAATACTGCTAGAAACCGGGTTTCGATACCCGTGGTGGACAGAGCACAAGTAGCCTTTTGTGCAGCTTTGTGCATAATAATGAAACAAACAAACCTTCAGAAACAGTGGCGACGCCTAGTGAAGGGGAGAGTGGCTACTGCCACCTATAAAATTTGTCCACCTCTCGCCTCTCCTCAAATTTGTCTTCCAGAAGTTTACTCCCATTTAATCATTAAAGAAAAAGCCTTCGCCCTCGAAGCCCATCTGTATGTCACCCTCTTCAACTCCCCATATTTAGAATCCTGGAGTTATCACTGTTCAGAAATTTGCTGATTTCCTGTTGAATTTTTAGTAACTTTTATGAAATACTTGGTCTAAACAAAGCACCTATTTTTCTCTTTGTGTATAAAGCTCAACTCTTTCCTAAACGTATCTTACGGCTTACTAGTAATCTAATCTGACATGTTTTTATTATGATAACTCGGAATAATTTCGAGGTAGGTTTGAGTTAAATTATTGTAAATAATTCATTTAAGACTGTGTAATTTATTCCTTTTTGTCTATAGAGACTTACGGTTTTCTGGGGTTCACCTCACGTGGAAAGATTTAAGAACACTATCTAGTTGACCAATGTTGTGGTATCACGAATGAGACCAATTTCCCGACAAGTATCAGGTAGAATATTTTGCAGTAATGGTAGAGTTCACCCAGGAAATTTACAAGGATTGTGCGATAGAGATATTAGACCCGATTGTTCGTTTTTAGTTTATAAATGTATAAGCTGTAGACGGTTTGAACAAACAAACAGAATATTTATTAACACAATAAAAAGAAGGCTAGCACGCGTACCCTCCAACAGATAGTCATTTCTCTTTTTAGTTGGTGTTCAGTCTGATTGCTATATTTCTCTCGAGAATGAACGCTCCAACACTAAATAAGCATATCTTCCAGCTTTTACGGGTCCTCTCTGTAGGCCAGCTAATGAAGAACTGAAATAAGAAAGCGTGCTCGGATCTAAAATGTCAACTCACTTTCTTTGTCCAGTGGATAGTGTCATCTCGTGACCTATGTTTCCTGACAGTACTGGTCAGCTGTCATATTCAATTAACGTCATAATTGGCCAGTCAATGATATTTTAATGTTAACCCGTTCAACCCAGATTCTACATATAATACTGAAACATCCCTGAGGGCAGAGAAGACGTCACATACTAGAAATCAAATTGTGAAGCAGCCAGAACAAGACAATATTAGCAACTCTCTGAACAAAGTATTGCCGAAATGACAGTGCAAAAACTAAATAATCTAAAATTTAAAAAATCCATATCGCTATAGAAGGTAGAAAATGCATGATATGGCCGCATTTCACAATGTTTATATGGTCTAAGGTAGGAATTTTCTAAACCTTTGCTAACCGCAACCCTTTGTTTGCTTGTCTTCTAACAAGTGATTTCCTCCACCTATATAATATAGTATATTTATAAAATGATACACTAAAATATATTAAAAACAGTTCTATCTTAAGTGCCTTTGGGATTTAGATAAGCTATCTTATTCACTGCAAAAAATGGAAATATATTAGTACTTAATACCATCGCGAAATCTAAGCTAAAGATAGACAAACTGAATACATTATTATTGAAAGTGAAAAGTCATATCAGAGGTAATTTAAAGTTTCTAAACATTACTCCTTTTGATTCCTCCTCTTTTGGGGTTTAATCGATGAACGACTTCAACTTGGGATGTTTTCTTGCGAATGTGAATGACTAATTCAAGGAAATCATATTTTGGAATCATGGATGTTATACAAAGAAGTTGAAAGATATCAGCTACTTATATATATATTGTTTTGATTTATTGTTTTATATAGTGACCCGTGACATAGTGACTAAAACTGCTAATAAATCTGTGGGATATAGTATAGACATGAAAACTGCTAGTAATCTGTGGGATATTGTATACACATGAAAACTGCTAGTAATCTGTGGGATATAGTATAGACATGAAAACTGTTAGTAATCTGTGGGATATTGTATACACATGAAAACTGCTAGTAATCTGTGGGATATAGTATACACATGAAAACTGCTGGTAATCTGTGGGATATTGTATACACATGAAAACTGCTAGTAATCTGTGGGATATTGTATACACATGAAAACTGTTAGTAAATCTGTGGGATATAGAATACACATGAAAACTGCTGTAAATCTGTGGGATACATGAAAACTGTTAGTAATCTGTGGGATATAGTATACACATGAAAACTGCTAGTAAATCTGTGGGATATAGTATAGACATGAAAACTGCTAGTGATCTGTGGGATACATGAAAACTGCTAGTAATCTGTGGGATATAGTATACACATGAAAACTGCTAGTAATCTGTGGGATATAGTATACACATGAAAACTGCTAATAATCTGTGGGTATACTATATCCCACAGATTACTAGCAGTTTTCATGTCTATACTATATCCTACAGATTACTAGCAGTTTTCATGTGTATACTATATCCTACAGATTACTAGCAGTTTTCATGTGTATACTATATCTCACAGATTACTAGCAGTTTTCATGTGTATACTATATCTCACAGATTACTAACAGTTTTCATGTGTATACTATATCCCCCACAGATACTAGCAGTTTTCATGTCTGCTAGTAAATCTGTGGGATACGTGAAAACTGTTAGTAATCTGTGGGATATAGTATACACATGAAAACTGCTAGTAATCTGTGGGATACAATATACACATGAAAACTGCTAGTAAATCTGTGGGATACAGTGTACACATGAAAACTGCTAGTAATCTGTGGGATATACTATACACATGAAAACTGCTGGTAAATTTGTGGGATACGTGAAAACTGCTAGTAATCTGTGGGATATAGTATAGACATGAAAACTGCTAGTAATCTGTGGGATATAGTATAGACATGAAAATTCACAATAAAGAAGTAAGTATATATATATTTCAAAAGAGTATATTTGTTATATATGTTGGCCCGAGATAATCGACTGTGTAGATTTTTGGCTGAACTGTAAAAAAATGTGACACATAAAAATGTTAAACATTTCATTATCTGAAAAATAAAAAGAGAATTTAATCGAATCTCTTTCTTTGTGCTAATACTTATTATCCAAACAGCACATAAGTAAAGTGCCAAACAAAGAAATTATTGAATATTTTACCTGTTATCTGAAGTAGCGTCGTGGTCTGTTCCATTCTGTTGTACCTCAGACTCGAGATGGATACGTGCAGTTGGCTTTATCTGATTGGCCGACTCCTCGTGGAGTTTTACTGCAAGTTTCATGCTCGATAAATCACGTTTAGAATTACCTGCCTCCTTTAAACTAGTTAAATCAGGTTTGTATAACACAGACATTTGACTTTCTAAAGAATGCCGTCTATGTGGTTTTGAAAAGTCCGGAATGTTTGAGGTAATACTACAATTTTCGATGTTTGACGTTTCGTTTCTGGTAAATTCTGATATTGAATTTTTTTTACCAATAGCTCGACTACTTTCACTTGTAGGTGTATGATTTCGAAGCTGACAGTTATTTTCGATAAGAACAGGTCTTTCCGTGTAACAAAGTCGTGGGACCCATCTCGTTTCGGTTTTATCGACTATATTAATTGACGTATCTGTCTGTGACGATTGGCTGTCAGTAGTACGTGGGAGAGACGTTTCGTCGACTGATGTGTTTGTAAATCTCGCTGGCTGAAGGGAATCTGGTAAACCACAGTTGTAGAGATTCAAAACAGATGGACGCGAAGGTGACGCATTATTGGAGCTAGCACTCGTAAAGTTCGCCATAATATAAGATCCTAATTGTTCTTCAAAGCTGTCGCGTAAACAGAGAATAAAATATATATATAATGTAATAACAGTTGCAAGCAAATTAAACATACAATAACTCCAACTAAATTAATCAGAAGTAGTATGTTTATCATTAATTATATATTATAACATTGTAGTACGAGTCACCACAAAAATATAGACAAAAATGTTTAAAGATTATTAATTAACATATTCCGATGACGTACTGTTGTAAGATGGCGCTGTGCGCAAAGATTTATGGAGCTGACCTTATAAGCATTATTTTATCAATTTTTCCAGTTGCTGTTTGATAATATTTTTTTTCTTTTTGTTAGTTGGTTATTAAGCACAAATGGGCTATATATGTGTTTTACCCATCGCATGTATTGAAACCCGATTTTTAGCATTATAAGCCCTCATTCTTACAGCTGAACGACCGGAGAGGAGGGGGTTGATAACATATCTACAGATTATCCAAAACAATGATGTAAATTTTATCAAAAAAAAATTAAATAGAACAAATAGCTGACACGAACTTGAAAATCTTCTGTAATACCATTTATTCAAACTACTTGTTTGGATTCCAGTATACAAATTATGGGCTATATACCATACTTTAATATATACGGCTCCTTATTGTTTAGGCTTATCACGTATTAGGTATCATGCCTATTGTTGACCAGATGTAAATGGTTGTTTTTAAGCATAAAACTGTACAACGGGTTATCTATGCTCTGTCCACCATGTGTTGAAACCCTATTTTCAGTGTCGTAAGCCTGAGACGTGCTGCTGAGCCCTTGGGGTCGAGAGGTGTGCCTAACAATTCATAATAGCTATTTTTGTGTAAAACAAAGCACATCTAGTTTATGGTTCTGTTATAAAGTAGGTTTTCAAATAATCCTAAAAAATGTAAATTCAAGATATTTTATGAATGAATAATCCATTGAAAATTCCGTAAATTACTAATTTATTGAGCATTTTATAAATTAATTCATTTCTCAGTAAATTACATCTTTCTATAAGCCAATATAGAGGTTTCAATACGTTATATTAAAGCTATTTTGAATATGAAAATCAGCGTGTCATATAACAACCACAGCTAATATAAAGTAGCGATGGAGCGGAACTTATCAAACTACATTTTAATGTTGTTTAGCATTTCGTGGGTAGCTTGATGCCACTGAAGATTGATCGTTTGGAAAGGGTATGTAACAGCCCTTTCTGACGCAACATATCTATACAATCAGGACGCAAAAATGTTGTTGTTTAAGCTACACAATGGGCTATCTGCGCTCTATCCATCAAGGATAGTTTTATAAACTTATCGCTAATCCAACGGGCAACGATCCCAAAGATGTGTTGAGATCGAGAACTTAGAATTTCCAACACAGGGATGTTATTTTATACCTAATGACATTGGAAAACAAGGGAATATAGATCGAAATAGGGCACCAGGACCATCCAGAAAAAAATCCTGCGACAAGTCGTACTCCAATCATGGCGAGAAGTGCGGCGTCTTGTAACAGATGATAATCTACGACCACAAAGGTCAGTGGCAAAAGCCATTCACGTGCCCCAGGCAACAGTGTGTAACATAATCAAGAAGGATTTTCCTCTGGAAATGAAGCTAACAAGGCATTGGTTCAACAAGATGATGCTTCCAGTTCGACAATCATCACTTACTTCTGAGATATTTTCAGTTAAAAAAAAAAAGATTTCCCGACAAGTATCAGGCAGACAAACCCGTAAATATATCTTTAGTTAATAACTTGACTGAATTTTAAGTTGGGTTACAAATAAACAGATTAATCAGATTTAAATGACAATAGAAATAATCTTTATTTCGATACACACACATATATACAAAAAACACTTCGTGTACCAGTGTAGACAATTGTATGATCGCTTCTACTGGATTGGTGAATAGCTCGACAGTTTTCTGTCTCACGAGATGAATCTCCACCGAACTAGTCACGATAAAAGCCAAGTACAATTGATCAAAGATGTGACTAGATTTCAAACATCAACTTGCTTTGTTTGCCCAGTGGGCGGTGTCACCGCGTGATTTCTGTTCCCTGGCAGCATTGGCCAGTTATCAGTTTTAGTTGTCATGATTCTTCGGCCAGCAAAGGATATTTCAGTTTCAACTTCTTTTAATTCAGGCTCAAAATACTGTGAAATATCCTTGTGGGCAGAAGACGTCATCTAACAAAAGAACAGAGATGAAGTGGCTAGAACAAGATAATGAAAGACATCCTGAACCACGTGCTGCCGCCATGACGGATAATTCTATACTATTCCCGCATACCATACCTCTAGCAACTGAAAAATGAAACAGGTATTCATGCTATTCCATACAAAGATATACTGGCTAAGTCATTTAACATAGCACCTATGGATTTCTATGCGATCGGATTGTTGGAACGAGTTTTAGCAAACGATTGTCCTCGTGCACTAAACGAGTGCCAAGCTTTTGATATAACAGCCTTGCGACGAAGCCTTTTATAATAAAAACTACGTTCATGGGTGTCCGCAGAAGAATGGGGCAAAGAGGGCACTTGGCCCCTGGAAAATAAGAAACATAATTATTTCTGTATTCATTCAGTATATGTATATGAATTTTTTTCACTTCACAATTTCACATACCCCCCCCCCCCCCTGGAAAACGCCCATGACTACGCTGCAGATATATCGTCAAGATCCACAGCCGTCAAATAAAGCGTGATCGGACGTGGCAACATGGATTGTAACGACGTGGTAAGGTAAAGCTCCAAAAAATGTTTTGATATAACGAACTTAACCTCTGTAGTTGTACAGTTCACATTAAGTTAATTACTTGTGAAAACGAAATCCCTTTTTTTTTTGTCAGTAATTTTCCACTATAGTTTATTATTGATCAACAGTTTTAAAGTTTAAATTGCGAGTTTTTAGTAGTTTGTTAATACAATTTAGCCAACGACTGGTTTTCAAGAGCTCTAAACCTACAAGTAATTATTAATTTTGAAGTAGAGTAGGACTACAAAAAAAAATGTATCATTTACTAACCTTGATAACCTACGAGTGGTTAGTAATTTTCTTGATTCATTAAAACGTTCATGTAATTATTAATTTTGAAGTAGAGTAGGACTACAAAAAAATGTATCATTTACTAACCTTGATAACCTACGAGTGGTTAGTAATTTTCTTGATTCATTAAAACGTTCATGTAATTACTAATTTTCCTAGTAGAGTTTATCATGCAAATATTACCTTTTACCTGTGAGTGTGTGACGTCGGAGTAATTAATAATTTTTCAATAGTGCGGTGCCTGTAAATGATTAAACATTTCCTAGAACACCATAAATTAGAATAATTTAGTAATTTTTCCAACACGCGAATAAAGAATAATGTCATAGTAGAGTATAACCTGCAATTGATTAATAATTTATCAAGTTTAGTATAACACGCAAACTGTTAATAGTTGATCAACTTCAGTATAATATTTAAGTTTTTATTATAATATTTTTTTATTTCTGTACAGACATAAAAATACGAAATAAAGAAGTTCCAACGAAGCTTAATCAGCTTATTTGTGGAATACTCCTTAGTTACTGTGACCATACATATCTATATATATATATATATACTAATAATAAATATAAATAAACAAAACCGAAAAAGGCGAAGTTGGTATTAGAAATCTATCATAATCATCATTTTATATTAACTTATATCTAAAATTAACAACTTACTGATCATAATAAATATTCTGTAATGCTATTGCCACAAACAAGCAGTTACATAAATAATAAAAAAGTTCAATAAATATTAATAACTGCATATGAATAGAATACCATTCAATGAATATTAATAATACCTGCATATGAATAGAATACCATTCAATGAATGTTAATAATACCTGCATATGAATAGAATACCATTCAATGAATATTAATAATACCTGCATATGAATAGAATACCATTCAATGAATATTAATAATACCTGCATATGAATAGAATACCATTCAATGAATATTAATAATAACTGCATATGAATAGAATACCATTCAATGAATATTAATAATACCTGCATATGAATAGAATACCATTCAATGAATATTAATAATAACTGCATATGAATAGAATACCATTCAATGAATATTAATCTTTTTGTCGATGAACACCACTTAATAGCAAATCTTTTATTTTTCTTTAACTCTGCTATTCTATTTATATTCTATAAATCCATGGAGAGTTGATTCATTATATAAGGTTTTTTATTCTATTGTTCCATAGCTATTATTGTAATTTGGAATTTCATTATATTTATTACCCATGGTTCTAGTACTATACCTATGATTTTTAGTACTTATCATATATTTATAAATATTATTTACATCAAATAACAGATTTCTTAAAATTTCATCTGTTAAAGAAACATTTGCATTAAGTTCGTCATTTGTGTTTAAGATTATCATCTTAAACAGTTTTTTATTATATTGATTTTTTTAAGTAGACCCAAAATAGAACCTTATTTTATGGTCATTGGATCATTCATTATTTCTTCAGTTTGTATTATTTCAACCCTATTACTGAACTAATTCATGAACCAGTTATATAACTTCCCCCTTATACCCCCTTGTATAGTTTATCCAGCAGTATTTTATGATTTGATGTATTAATACAAATACCTTTTTATTTTTATCTAATTGTAAATTCACATCATTTGAAAAGTTTTCTAATAGTAATATGATGTTGTTATTTTTAATAAATCCATCTTAACACTTGTTTATAATATCAATTTTTTTACAATAAAATCCAACATTTTGTTGTATAGATACCTTTCCATTATTTCTTCAATTACAGGTAAAAAGGAAATTGATCTATAATTATTGAAATCTTCTTTTTTCCTGACATGCAAATAGGTTTTATCTTTGATATTTTAAGTCCATCGGGTATTTTCCGTTTTTCATAAATTAAACTTAATAGGCATGTTATAACCTTTGCTAATATATGGTTTTATGTACCTTAATTGCATACCATTAA